GCTGAACATGGAGTGGCACGTAGCTCACTGAGCACTGGTCAAGTATCAAAGTTATTGCTGTATGCCAAGAGTGGCATGGTCAGCCAAATGCCGAGGCATTGAGGGCGACGCCCCAGTGTTGAACGTTGAGTTGTTGTTGAATTGCTCACGTTACGAAACAGTTGCTGTATACCGAGAGTGGCATGGTCGGACGAGGTCCGAGGCATCTTGGGCATGGCCTTGTGATGCGACTGGAGTGGCACGTTATCCATTGGACGAAGACTGCGGATATAGCAGCGCTTCGTCGGATGTTGTTTATAACAGTAAGGCTCCGATGGAGCAGGGACCGGGTACACTTTATGACGTTGAGTGCGTGTTCCCACTCGATGAAACGTAAAACCTCTGTAAAGAGGAGATGGCGATGCCGTATGTTACCTGGAAGTCGCAGGTTGTTGACCCTGACATAGGGTGTGTCTGTCGTAGACAATAGCGCAGAGTGGCTCTCCTACTTCGCTAACCCTACAAATATACGATACACAATGTTTCTGTTTCTTGCTTGCTCATCTTGATGCCTATGGTATATCCCTGTGTCCTGAAAAGAAGGCTTTTTTCAGGTATCCAATGTGAGGGCGCCTAAGCTCCCACAGATTGTCAGTTATGGGATACTTCACGTCATTTGCTTCTTCTGCTCACGGTCGAGCTTGTGCGCATTACTGATCCTTTAAACTAATGCGATCACCAAAACTCAACTCTCATACTGCGTTCGGCAAGCGTACCAGACGACAACAATCTTTTGCCAGTTCATGGATATATAGAACATCAATCATTTATGTTCTTTTGAGCCTAGAGCAGTCAAATTGATGGTGCCAGTTATTAGACAAGCATCGAAGGAACAATCGAACATGGCAAAAATGTTTGATTGTTCCTTCGATGCTTGTCTCAAGCTTTTTGTATTCAAACAGTCCCGTCCTGTGCTGTGTCACATGGGCAGTGGCGCCACTGTCGATAAGCAACACTCTGATCGTCCTTCATTCACTACAATCACGCCGTCATCAGTGTTGAATCGTTTTCGCCTGGCATGTTTGGTTTGTATGACCATCCTGGTCATAATAAAAACACTTGCCTTTGAATTCACCTCTATTGGTGAAGTGGTACTTTATTGAGTGCTACCTCACCCACCTTTTAGACTTCCAGTACGCATTTAAGCGTTATCTATGTAAGCTTCTTTCTGTACAGCTTCTCTGATTCCTAGTGCAGCATCCCGATGATTTCAATCAATATGATGTCCTTTGCATTCTTAACATATAATCAGAATCTGGCGCCATATTGCTAAAAGTTACCATCAGCTGGCACAACTCGTCAACTGGCTCACACTGTTTAAAAACTACAACGGGTTCGTCATAAGAGTCTAGATGTCCCGGCATGCTAGTACCACGATCGATCTTGGAATCGTGAAGTCGTCACGTAGCGTGATTCATGACTCGTGGACGACCGTATCTTTGTCTGATGTTGAATCCCAACGCCATTCGCAATTATGCACAATAGTTTATTAGTCTCTTGTCTCTATGATAAAGACCTCGTCCTTCACGGCCATGGCATACCCACAAAGACACTTCATCTCCAGAGTCATCATCATAATTCAACCTTAACCGGTCACTAAACATCTACTTCAATTTGGATCTGTTTTGATTTTGAGCATCACAAATTGATTTGCAAGTCAAATCTAAAGTGTTTCATTTTCGATTTGCAAAATAGAAACACAAATTAAGATCACGTATTCAAAAGTTTGTCTCAATTTTTCGTTCTTAGTCTTTTATGAAGCGGATTGATGAAACCGTTTTAGTTTTTTACAAGAGACATTGCTTCAGCAATGTAACGAGTTAGTCGATGTTGCGGAATCAGTAGCTGCGTAATTTGCGGCTGCGGAGAGGCGGGGGGGGCAACGCGACCGTTGGTTGTAGAGGTGGCGTCACAAGAAGCGGCGTCAATGGTGAAGGAAGCGTTACTAATGGAGGTAGTGCCACTGGTGGTGATGCAGGAGACAGCGTAGCTGGAGGCAAGGTTGGTTCCAATAAAAGAGGAGATAATGGTAGTGTCGGAGGCAAAGTGACTGGTGGAAGTAAAGGAAGCGTCACTGGAGGAAGTAAAGGTAGCGTCACTGGTGGCAGCGGCAATGGTGGTAGAGTAGGTAATGTCACTGGTGGCAGCGGCAATGGTGGTAGAGTAGGTAATGTCACTGGTGGCAGCGTTATCGGTGGTAGAGTAGGTAACGTCACTGGTGGCAGCGTTATCGGTGGTAGAGTAGGTAGTGTCACTGGTGGCAGCGTTATCGGTGGCAGAGAAGGTAGCGTAACTGGTGGCAGTATTACCGGTGGCAGCGTGATCACGGGCTCTGTCTGAACTTCGTCAGTGGCTGGCTCGCTCGTGCCTTCTTCCGGTGCATCCGTGTCACAGGGTTTCTCTGTCGGAACGTAAGGAGTGTAGTGCTTTACACTTTTATATATCTGCTTTGTTGGATTTTGAGTGATCTGCTCCGTGATCGTTGGAGGCTCTGCGTACGGTTCCGCTACTTTGGTATCAAAAGATCCGTATGTCGTATGGTCGTAGGTCTGCTTGTTCTCACCACCACTACCTCTTACATAAGGCGTCGGAGTGTACGTCGTGTAGTGTGCTACATGTTTTTTGGGAAGGTAGTAATGCTGACCGTCCACCGTTGACGATTCGGAAGGAATGTGGGCAGTGCCAACCTCATATCTACCAGCAGCCGTACCTGCCTCCGTGCTGGTTTCATAGTGTGTATCGGTGATGTATCCACCACTTGATGTAGCACTCTCAGTAGCAGTTCCTGTCGTGTCGTAGTTGAAGTCAGTAGTGTGTGTTTTAGTCGCTGTATTATCCGCGGCGGTCGCAGTCAAACTCTCGTAATTATCATTAGAATAGTAACCACTTGGTACCGGATGATCATCGATAGTCTCATGCGTGGCTCCGCCCGTGGTATGTTCTCGAGTTGTTTGTTGGTTAGTGGTGTGTTTTCCAGATGTAATACCATGCGTGGTGAAATCGCCAGTTGTGTATGTGCCACTTTTTTCTTCTTTAGGGGTGTGATCGCCAAATGCGTTTTCACCAGCAGTGTATCCATGAGTCATGTGTCCGCCAATGGTGTGTCCACCAGACGCGTAATCGCGGATTGTTTCTTCTTCAGATTTGTGTTTGTCGTGTTCGACAGTTGCGTGTCCGCCACTCGAGTGTCCGATATTTCTGCTTTCCCCAGTCATTGTGCTCGTAGAAACATCCTCACTTGTCATGGTAGATTTCTTGATGGAGGGACCATCGGCTGACTTGCCAGAGGGGTATCCGACATTTATTGTGCTATCATCTACCGACGTCATCGTAGCAGTTTTCATTGTGTTGGGTTTCAGATGGTCATGATAATTTGTCCTCTCCATTATGCCTCCCGTTTGCTGAGTCGTTATCTCCGTCACAACATCACAATTGATATCGAGTGGTGTATCCAAGTTTGTGTCGTAGTAATAACCAGTCGATTTATCCTTTAAACCATCCTTGACATGACTGTCTTTCTTATAGTTTGAAGGCTCTCTTCATTGACCGCTCCAACATCTTCAGTTTTGCTTGTAGCAGTATACTCCGTACTTGAAAAGGCGCATCCCCATACGTTGGTACGTATGAGAACGCAATGGGCGTCAACTGGAGCAACGCACATGGCACCGTTGTAAGACGGTAGATGCGGTTGACAGTTGGCTGTAGCAATATCACCAGCTTTGGGACAGGCATTACCAACCGGCTTCTCTCCGCTTCCAGAGCAGGGCAAACCGCAAGACTCTGACAGAGAGTAGGTAGCATCGTACTGCACGGAAACATGGACGTGACCTGAGACTTGTCGTCTGGCAGCGAGAATGCCGACTAAAGCTGCTGCCGTGGCAGTAGTTTTTTTAGCCATGTGCCAATTTGCCATAAACGTTTATGTTGATGTGGTCGCCAACGAAGAAATTAAAGAATGAAGTCGACAGCAGAGTTGCATCAAGGATAGTGTTCTAGGTCAAACGGGTATGGCATAGTTGAAATCTTTAAGCAGTTGGTTTGGGATTATAATAGTTTAGGCTGTCCGCATCCAACAGTCACAACTACCACATAATGACTGGGTGAGTCGTGTACCTTTTGACAGTTAAGTCAATAATCTTTTCAATAATCTTTACATCGCTATGGAACTTCATAACTAATATTGAAAATTTAGCCCCACATTTATAAGGCAGAACAACTGCTTAAAACCCTTTTAGTACTCCACCTAAAACAACCGCTCTCTACTAAGTAAGCTGTATAGATGGCTCGAGGATTATAGCATAACTTTTTCTCATTCATTTTAGAGCTTACATTTCACAAAAAGAGGCATTTGCCTACGTGCTCCTGTTGAGAAGGGCCAGGTATACCGGGCTGCCGCAGATATTGGAATAATCTGTAAGCACTATTCCACGCGAAAAAATTAATAGAGGAATCCTTAAGAATCTGATATTTGAATCATTTTCTGATTTTAAAAGCCGGTTAGGGGAAAAGTCACGACTTTAAAAACCGGCTAAAACGTTTTTTGTCCTCGACTTTTCCTAGCTAACGCAATATCCTTCTATCAACTGAACCTTATTTATGTGCATGAGTCATCAAATTCTTTTGTATGCTTTATTTTTGAAGTGATTGATTGTAACACGACAACTAATCTTATCTTTTGAGTCAATTCGCCGACTCGACATCATAGTAATTGTGTTTCAACAAACTCCTTCCAAGTATTTCATGATTATGTTGTATGTCCCTTTGGTAAGAAAAGCAGTGATACTTTTCTTGGAGGTGCTCGTGGGTGCATGCTAATGGAAAAACAATAGCGTGTCAAATTGAGGACTGTAATGAGCCCCACGAATTTATACCAAG